GCTTCATACGACTTTCGAGTGATCTCTCTGATCACGACGTGTTTTCCCCACTTTCACTTCAGCTGTTCTTGTCAACTCCATCTTTTTGCTCACTGGTCATCGAGCTCTCAGGCAAGATTCCTAGTTTCCTGTGAGTTACAAAGCAAAAGGGTTCAACGACTTCTAAGGTTCCAAGCGGGTCCAACAACGACCTCAGACTTTTCCAACATCCTCTTGACGGAAGATCGGCTATGTTTGAACTCGAAGGCACTCTCGCAAACCAACCAATCATAGCATTGGCTGCATCTAGCCTTTCAAGTGATATCAGTAGATCCTTTGTCGAATCCTCGGTACTGTATCCCTTTATGCATGCATCAAGACCACCCTGGTTGTCAATGAAGAAAATGGTGCGTCGGCCGTCAAATACATCCTTCCACTCACGCCTAGCGAGGACCACGGCGAAAAGTTCCGTTTGACAAACAGGATGTACCTTGCCAAGCTTAGTCCAAGATTCCAATACCTCCCTAGGAACGAAGCACCCAAAGGTGCGGATCCTCTTCGGTTCACGAGGGTCAAGTAGCACACCCCCTGCCGATGCCTGGAGACTTCCTCCCACCTCCTCGCAAGCACCGTCAGTGAATACAATCACAGGGGGGCTCAATGGGCCCTGCGCGCAACACCCTGGGCTGGCACGAAGTATACCTGGCAGACAAGACTTGAAAAGCATCCAACTGCGACTTGCTAAGCTCGACGCGGGGTTTTCTGCTGTATTCAAGATGCCTCAGTTCTGACAAGGCCAGCCTCCCTGCTCGACCCATGAAGAAGCTCTCAGCGAAAAGAGCTCGTCCAAAAAGGGAAGGGAGCAGCTTAGGTTGTACACACTTCAAACGAATGATGTCCTGCACGACGTCCTTGAGCTCTCGTGTCCTGTCCTCACGATTCTTCACCTTCACAAAGCCTTCGTGCGAACTGGAGGTGTCAAGACACATTCCTAGCATGTGAGTGCTGGACGAAAAGGGCTCTTCCTTGTCAGGCGAGCATTCAAATCCTAAAAGGTGGGTTAGCGCGCGAATGGTACCTGACGTGCTCTGGCACAGCTCATCAAATTCGACAACAGGGAAATCATCGAAGTAGTTTGACCAGTTGACATCAAGCTCCATGCCTATCCGGTGTAGCAGCCTCGCCACTCTATTGAAATGTAGCACCGACGCCACACTCCCAAAAGGTAGAGTCCTCGACACGAACCCTTGGACTTCTCCAGTCCGAGGTGACTTCAAAGTCAAGATCGACAATTTCCTGTCAATAGGAGAAATCGGAAGTTGCTTGTACGCAGACTTCAGGTCAACCGTCTTGGTCAAAACAAATTCCTTTGAGTGGCGCCGTTTCCAATGCTTGTCAACCGGGGCCCTCAAGACTTCACCAGTGCTCAAGCGAAACTCAGCGAACTCCAAATGAATGGCATGACGGATCAAACATGAAGCTACCCAGACAGTCTGGTCAAGGGCTCTAAGATCTATCTTTTCCAGATATCCAAATGATGCGTTCACACCGCATTCCGTGTAGTCGTCAATGGGCCTCCACTTGGACCTTTGCCAGACAGCGAAACGGCGGACCGGCATCCAAACACCATCAAACATCACTTCAAGTTCTTCGAAGGAAAAGGGGCCCTGGAGCCAATGTTTCTCTCTCACTTCTTGCATTGTGATGTCCCACAAGTCTTGTTGGTATTCGGTGGCCGGCGCAGAACTGATCTTTCCCCATAAGGCCGGCTTGATGTGCTTGGACTGCGAAAGCAATTCCCTTTCCGACAGAGTGCGATGCTTGACGTCTTTGCTGAAAACACCCGAGGGTTTCTGAAGCCCAACAAGTCGAAAACCGTCTCTAATTTCCTTGTGCACCGAGACATCTGGCCATTGAAGCTCCGTGGCAATCTTTTCCAACAGCGCAAGGTGTTTGCCCTTCAAGACAGATGCACAACCCGGGTCCATATTCTGAAAAAATGTTGCGGTTCGCCTCTTCGAGCTCACCCGCCCAAGTCCTCCAGCGCTGCAGGGTCTCGAGCCTCCTCTTCATGATGACGAGGGGCGAGTTTGTCAAAACATTGAAGACCACTCGAAGCATCGAGTCTGGCAACGCCTTGTACGAGTCAAAAGGATGCGTCAACGCTCTTGCACGGTCAACGAACTCGATCATGGAATGAAAAACTCCAAAGACATATGTCTGCATGCTGGTGTCACTTCCTGGTTCTCCCCTTTTTGCAGGGGAAGTGCGCAGCAGCTTGCTACCAAGGGGAATATCAGCAAAAGGCACCAACAGGATCTTTTTGTCGTTCAAAAAGGGCTGGTTGTGAGCTTCGACACAGACTGTACGAACAGCGTTGTATTCCGGGATGAGAGGCTGCAATTTGTGGCCACGAGGCTGTTTGCCAGCGGCGACGCGAGCATCCGTCGGATGCGAATCGACATGAGAGGGGTCACACAGACAAATGTTGTCTTCGGCCGCTGCCAAAGACAAAAGAGCAGCAATCCGAGCGCACAGGAGCCTTGGGTAAGCAGCCTCCTTGCTGGTGTCAAAAAGGATGCCTGCTGGTGTGGATTGTGTACCCCATTCAAGGTGCTCGTGGTCACCTTGGCAAAAACCTTCAAGAGCAGCAAAATGCGAGCGTGTAGTGAGGAAACCAGTGAGTTTCTTTCTTTGACCGCCGTGCGTACAGGAGTGAAAGCGCACGAACTGAGCTTGTTGGGCAAGCGCTTGATACTCACTGATATCCCACAAATAACTGGTGCCTGGGTTCTCGATACTCCATGTTGTTCCAGTTGAACTAAGCCAGGAGCAAAACTCTGCCAGTTGGAGGTAAATGTCATTTGCACTCGTTACCTTGTCCATCCACACACCGCTCAACCACGGAAAGCCGAGCGGAAATTCGGCAGACCTGAGGGGAGGAGGCCCATGCGTATGCTTTGACAGCCTACGGTCGCGTGCACGAGATGCCGTGCCGCATGGGGGCGCTGCGTGTACATGGAAGACAAAACGATCCTGGACGACGAACCTCAGAAACTCCCAAGTGTCGGCCTTACGCAAATCAAGTTGGACGACATGTACGTAAGGATGATGCTTATTCCCTTCGAAGTCGATGGCCATGAATTCAAAACCATGCTTAGCTACGACACTGCTGAGAATGGCACTGCCGCAACACAACTCGATAAAAAGTGGCGATTCTTTCAAAGTTCCCGAGATGGGACGAGAAAAATGGTCTGCAGATTTGTCACCTTTGGCGATATCTGCTGGAAGCACTCCTTGCTGGGCTTCTTCAAGCCCTGCATTGCCATCATTGATGGTATGCTCCTGGATACTTGCTGGATCGCGCGCTTGGGGATCCATGGAAAATTGCTCATGATCACGCGGGCTCTTGACATGTAGTCAAGAGGCACTTCCTTTGGCTGGACATTGGGTGAAAGGATGGTGTTCGCCGCACTTCGGCAATGCACAGACATGGAAGCCTTTCTCACAACGCCCCTTGTTGACTTTCAGTGTGCATGTTCCCAAATTGTAACCGTAACAAATTGGGTCACCTTGGTTGGTGGTAGGCCTGCAACCACCCTCAACCAGCTGAACTGGCATTCGAAATCCCTTGCCTTTGCCCTTGTCTTTCCCTTTGCCTTTTGACTTGGAATAGGGCTGAAAGCGATTCCACACAAACTTGTCATCCTTTGGTGGTGCCGTCGACTGGGGTCTAGTCGGTAAAGGCTGCAAAAGATGAAGAACTTCTGGCTTATGGCGACACTGTGAGAAAACAAGGTCCAATGGCCGTCCCGCTGCCGTGGCCTGAACCCCTGCTCGTGTCTCATCACAAAGCTCCTCGAACAACTTCTTGTCGGCTTCAAGCAGTTGTTTAAAGGACACTCGAGCGTAACCGTCGGGCGGCGTCTGCAGCCGGGTTCGAATGAGTTTGTCAACCCACGTTTGGTGAATGACATAGTCAAGCAAGTTTGCTTGTTCCATTCTGAGGCCACGACGCTGCAAGGCATATTGCAGTAAGATCTCTGACGAAGTATCGGCCGCGGACTCTGGGACTTTTGACTCAACACGGAGTTTCCCTGAACCTTCCACTGCAAACTGATGCTCAACACGCGCAGACTTTTCCAACTCGCACTCCTTTGAAGTGTACTTCTCCCATGGCACGAAGCGAAGGCGGTTTGCATCATACATGCCACAAAACACATCAACGAGTGCATCACTAGGTTCCATAGGTCCCTTGAGGCTCAAGCCGACGAGCTTCTTGACCTGTTTCTGGTACAGGTCACTGCGCTCAGGCTGCGTGAGCTTACGAGTCTGAACCTCCTCACTGCGTTCGAGCTGTTGCTTGATTTCAGCAGTGACTAAGGCATAGGCTTCATGCAGTAGTTTTCGACAAGATGCTTGCTCGCCAATCAAAGGGTCCCGACCTATTGCATTGCGAATGGCCCTGATGAAACTCGCATCATCACCTGACCCCGGGACGTATGAACTGCAAAAGGCGTACTTTGACAAACTGTCCAGGTGGGAATCAACAAGAAGCTGGACAAAGTCATCGCTAAGGCCAGCCGCTGCAGCTCTACTCCTGAAAACGGGCTTATTGTCGCCGTAGGATGCCATTCCTG